AGCATTTTCTTGCAACCTTTTCAACCAAGAATCACAGAATAACAACGAGTGCCATATCGTTTTTGTGTTATAAAATTTCCGGGCATATTGATATCGTGGATATTTAGGGATTTGGAGTGAATAATAGGACTTATAGAGAAAACAAAAGATAACGAAGGATATCAGGGGATTCTTCCTAATATATCCATAAAGCCTTCTTGATCTTATTAAACTATAAAGGCAGAGTAAAACTATCAAGGCAGATAAACCTACCAAGACAGCAAGCATATTAAATGTCTTGATCAAAGAAAAAAGGGATGGATAAAATAAAATTAGACAATAAAATCCACAAATCCAAACAACTAGAGAGGCGAATTTTGGATAAAAAATTCAATAGTACAAATGATAGCTCATTTAAAAGAGCTCGACGGGTTGAGTTAAATGACATCAAAATCAGCACGATAAGATGATTCTGAACAAAATTATGAACAACTTAACATTCCTTTAATAAAAGTTTTTGTGTTGCTACTGAGGGTAGGACGGCATTCAAAGCTGAGAATAGGTAAAAAGAAATAGGATTAAGTTACGAGCCCAGAACCCAGCGACCGTAGACTCCCTGCGAGGCGCGTGCCGCAAAACCCTGCGCGAAGCGCAGGGTTTTGCACAAGCGCCTCGCCGACGCCCATAAGTACACGTTGACCATTTTGAGCCTCTTTATCTTGGCTCAGGTGTCATTCGATTCAGCTCGAGGATCTCTTACGAATGAGCTATCATTCAAAAAATCGAATTTTTCACCCCAAAATTGTGCTTATCCCCACTATGGTTTTCCGATTTTCGGAGACCTATATCTCGGTCCACAGGCATCACCGGAAAAAAGTCGTTCGTCTTTGCACGCTGAGACGAAAAGAATGGTATGGGTCTTATATCGAATCCTTTCCACCGGTATACTATACTATATCCAAATTAGTGAAACCTCCTCCCCTCAAAACCCCTAGGTTCTCAAAATACATTATTTACACGCGAACCCCTTTTAAACATGAGATAAGCTCTAAACAGAGCAATAAAATCGTTTGTTCTTTTCACGCACTTTGCAGCAAATAAATTACAACTTTGAAAACTTAAAAAGAGCGGTAAGGGGCCGCGCAGCGGCCCCTTACCGCTCGTTATTATTAAAGAAATGACTCATATTATTTTGGTTTCACTCTATTCGTCGAAAGATCGGTAGACAAATAACTTCCGGTAAATTAAAAATAGAAACAAAATAATTAATTTAAAAAGAAAATATCCCCTTTCCGTCCCCTTTCTTCAATTCATAAATCAAAAATTCAACACAAATTTTAACGGTTACTAAAAAAAATAAATACTCTCTCAATTTTATATTTGTGAAGATTCTTTTATTTTTGAAAATTATTAATTTTTAGGATTTTAAGTACTAACTTATTTCAATACCTATCCAGTAGGGGTGTGCCGAAAATGATTTTAAAAAGCGAAAGGCGAAAATGCGAAAGTCAATAAAAAGCGAAACACGAAAGGCGAAAAGCCAAAAAAAGCGAAATTTTGGCGAAAGATGAAAAGGCGAAAGGCACACCCCTGCTCTCTAGCCTATCGTTGTATTTCTTTTTATTGAAATAATTTTTTAAACTAAAATCCTAAAAGATTAACAATTCTAAAAAATTTTCTAAAAAACAATATAATATTCGTATTAAAATAATCTGTGAGAAATAATAAGACAAAAAAAGGTAAACCAAAAATATTAATTGCATAATTCTCTAAATAAAAATATTTACTTTTTATTTGTAGTCAAATTCATGTTGCTGTCGATCAGCTAGAAAAATTTTATTTTACATAAATCTATTTAATTTATTTTCTTGAGAAAAAATTTTTTTAAATTAATTTTTAAAGAAAATTTTCTCTCTTTCAAAAAAAAACTAACTTTTACGCCGCTGTAAGGCAGAAAGAAAAGGGTCGTCGTTAAATTTATTTTGTTTTTGGACTTGAGCAAATGAAGGAAATAAACCGGATGTTGATGGCTTTAAAAATTGGTAAATAATTTTTAAAAATATTTTTTAAAGATCACCTGTGAATTTTGTGATGTAGCAGCGAATTGAGCGCTAGGATTTTGAGGAATATTGTTTTTTGCAAAAGGGTCATAAGTTGTCTCTACATTGGTAACATCTACAAATTCTGAAGAACCCATTTTGATTTTTAAATGGCCAGAAGTATATCCTCGACTGCCTAAAAAAGGAATTTTTTTTCGCAAATTGTCTATTAACACTAAATAAAAATTTTTCCCCTAAAGTAATTCATAAAAAGCTTGACTAAAATTAATTTCTTATTATTTATATGGATGGATCGGTTTAGGAAACTGCCTCAAACTGTTCGCAGAATCTTTTTGGAAATAAATGGGCGAATAAAAGGAAAAAATAGAAAGGACTAAAAATCAAAATTAAAAAAAATTAAAAAAATCCTTTCCCCACCTCTATCAAGCAACCAATAAGTTATTCCAGCCACACAATGTTGAAGCATATATTGCAAAAAGATTGCACCAATTCCACTAAAAATAAAATATCAAATAAAATTTATTTTTGAATTTTAATCAAACCTAAAAAGCGTCATAACTCCTTCTTTTCTTATTATTGAAGAAAAACAATCAAAAATTCCCGAATAACGACCAGCTGGAACCAAAGCTTCTGCACCGCTATCCAAATTGTCTATTAATGTGCGGGTGCCTTGAAAAGTAAAATAAATAATTAATCTAAAAAATTAAAAATGAAAACCTTGAATATAAAGTCTGTGAAGAACAGTCTCAAGTGGATAACAAACAATATCTGCAACAAAAACACTGGTCATTGAAGAAAAAAGTTCTGGCATAATTGTGTGATAACGTCTACGTTCTGAAGGAAGTTTACGACTCTAAAACAAAAGAAGAGATTTAAATAAATTGCCGAAAGTTGAGGTTTTATTTGGAAAATCCTAAAAATCAAGCCCAGAACATTTTTGAAAATAAATTCGAGAGATGTCAAAGTTAGCTTTTGCATATTAGGTAAAACAATAAATATGGACAAATTATCCTTGTTAGTAAAACTCAACATACTCCAGCTTAAAAAAATAAATTTTTTTTAAACTAACAACAAAAGTGCGTGTCCAAGAATACGAAGTAGTATAAACATATTGACAGACAAGAAAATGCATTGTTTGATGAAGGGATGTGGGAAATGCCAGCCAAAGCAAAGAATGCCTTCTACGAACGCCTTCTGCCATAGCAGAACCACCAAAAACGTCTTGCCTGAGTCTCTAAAAAATAAAGAAATATTTTTGAAAAATTCCAAAAAAACAAACATCATATCCTTTTGTAATAATTTCAGCAATTTGGAGATCTTCGGCTAAACCAGTACCAGTACGGACTGTTTCAAGAAAGGCAGTAACAATTACAGGGGTGCAGAAAATAAAATTGAAACTTGAAGAAAAAAATAATTTTGTAAAAAAAAAACGAAAAACAAACGTTTTAAGCCAGACATGCCGCCAAAATCGTTGAGAACTTCCATCGAGTACAAAGGATTTTGGCAAGCCTAATAATTCAGCGATGACCTGAAAATGGGAAAAATGGATGAATTACAGGAGACAGACAAAAAAACTTCATCAGAAAAATAAAATCTTACTAATTCTGAGACGCTTGAAAAAGCCCAGAGTACTCCATTACCAACAGCTCCTTTCCATAACGAGAGAAAACCCTTTTGAAATAAATTTAATTTAAAAAAATAAACTAATTTATACATCTTTTGCAGTCAATTTAATAATAACAGGCACCAAAGTAGTAGGAAAGAAGTGCTTGCGATAGGCATGGTCATGTATTTGGCATTGACGTCGGAGAACAACAAATGGATGACGAATGACCACACCATTAATAAAACTTAAAAAATATTTGGAAAATAAATTTAAAAAGTTACTTTGCAAAGCCAAGTCCTAACGCTGCCACAGCATCCCCTTTATAAGGTTTACCATGTCCAGCTCCACCAATACCAGTAAAAAAGGATGACATCCAAAATAGAATAGAATTTCAAAAAAAATTCTTTTTGTTCAATTAAGTCATTAAAATAAATTAGAGTATTTCTAACAAAAATTTCAAAAAAATCAAAATTAATATAAAAATATATTTATAAACAAAAAAAAAACAATGAACAAATTAGTAGAAGAAGAAAAAAGAAAATTCGTTCAGTCTAAAATGAGATTTCTCAAATTGAAGTATTGAAATAAGAATAGAATTATTTTTAGAAATTTTTTTAGTTAATTCACATGAAAATTTAAATAGAAAAATTTTAAAATATTTTCACTTAAAAAACTTCGTAATTTTTCAAAAATAAGTGAAAAAATATTAAATAATATAAAAATTAGAGTTGCCCTCGCTCGAACCAAAACTCGAAAGATCGAGCAAGTCAAGGCTTTTCAGCTCGAAGAACTCGAAAACGAACCGCATCAAAAACCAAACTCGAAAAAACCCCCGAACTCGGCTCAAATCGAAAACGGCAACCCTGATAAAAATGTTTTAGAAAATAAAAAATAGTATAGTATATGCATATTTCCATAGTAAAATTATTAATAAAATTTTTTTTAGAATTTAGATTATATATTAAGGTCACTTAGAGAATATTCACAATGCTTAAATTCACAATCATATAAAAATATTTTTTAATTAAAATTTTGTTTCATTTTTGTAATCTGACAAGGTTGAAGATGATGGGAGATTGTAGTATTTATTAGGCAAACGTTCCTTAACATCAACGAAGGAATATGTACCCTTAAATTTTGGATTTATTACAGCTTACATCGAATTTATAAGGTCCTTAAGCTCAAAAAATCGTCGTAAAAGATGGGAGGCTGAGGGAAAAATGTATCGTTAAGGAGTAAATTAAGTGTATAACTAACAATAAGACAGAAACTCCTCTGTCAGCAGCAAACCAAATTAAAAAAAAATACTTAAAATCTTGGTATCTAATCTTGAGGTATCTCAATTTGAGGCCCGACTATACTACTCCATTAAAATAAATTAAAAAACAAACATGTTGTTGCAATATTCTGGCCGGACTCCATCTATTAGACTGAACACCTCTTTCATGTGGCATATAAGAAAATTGTTGACTAAAAGTTGGAGAGATAGCCGGGGAAAGACGAAATTTGGGAATTTCAATACTTTCATTTTGCTCATTCAATCCTAAAACAAAAAATTAAAAAAAAATTTCGTGAAAATAGAAACCTTCACTCTCACTCGAACCAGAATCAATAACTTTAAAACGAGTAATTTCTCCATTCAAAATTGTCATTGCATCAGCTGATCCATCATGATCAAACAAAGAATAACGATCCTAATAAAAATATAAAAAAATACAATTTTTTAACAAATTACCTCGTCTTCTTTTGGAACTAATTGGCTATAACGGCAATAATAATCGGTCCAAAATCGAGGGTAAACTTTTGCTTTTTGACGAATAAAGTCACCGAGTGTTGCCTGAAATAAAAGGAATATTTTAGAGGTGTAGAAGAGAATAGAAAAGATAGGAGAGAATTATAAAATAAGTTATTCAGAATTTCAACCAAACTTTTCTTAAATTTACGAGTTTTCGAAAAAAGTTTCTTTAGACGAAAAGAAAAAAAGAATTTATTTACCTCAGGGTCATATTTATCATTTACATAAGATTCACGATTTTCCAAAATAAAAGACCACACTGAAATTGTATTTTCCTTAACTTGCTAAAAATAAATTTAAAAAATTAATTAATATCTCAAAAATTTAATGTTACCAATTCACTACGTTCACGTTCACAATTATACAAAAAAGTTCCAAAACGGCAAGAATAAAGTTCATCCAAAATAGTTTTTAAAAAACGGACATTAAATTCAAATGCTGATGTAAATTGATTAAAAAGTTGCCAAACACAGTCAATAAATTGAACAAAAATTGGTGAACGTTCTTTATCATCCGGTTTATCTTGACCGTGTCCAATCCGCTAAATAATTTTTAAAAAATTAAAAATTTGTTTGTGCAAAAAACATGAGCAAATTTGTGTCCAAAACTGCACCATTCCTTTTCAATAAGCACTGAAAATCCTTCAATTGTTCGATAATAGGGATCAAGTTGAAGCATTGTAAGTGAAGTGATCTGAAAAATATAATGACAAAAATGATCTCTAATTTAAAAAATAATGCTTCTAACCTGAGCAGTTCGATCCCAACCATCGCTAAAATAATTAAAAATATTTTCCCAAATTAAGAGTTAAAATAAAATTTTACCTGCAATGAACAAGAACAGAATTTTTGTGCAAATAAATTTCTCGAGCAGCCAATGCAGCAGCATCCAAAATTGTTTGTAAATGTGCTAGCCATTTTGTCTACAAAATAATATTTTAAAGAGATTAAAATATGTAAAAATTTTTACTTCTTCCAAAGTTTGTTGAAATCGTTTTTGTCTAATTCGTGGAAAACAGGCATCCTTTAACTTTTTTAAACTTTCACGTACAACATGAATATTTTGAATGTCCATAAATTTAAGTTGACAATTTGAATAGTTTTCATATCCTCCACCATTTGCTCTGTTAGCTTTTGCATTTATACTTGGTCTTGCATCCAAAATAAGAAGATATTTGGAATTTGGATTTACAGAGACAATCATATCCAGATAACTATAAAAAAGTAAAATTTAAAACGGAATTTTTGGAGTTGAAAATTTTAAATTTGTATTAGAAAACGAAAAAACTAGTGTTAAAGCTCCGTTTATCTCAAAAAATTGTTACTACCCAACCATTTACCCCCAACCCCACCAACTCTTCATCACTGGCAGATTTGCGAGACAATGCTCCAACAAGTGGTTGAGATGAACGAACAAGAGCAGCAGAAGTGCGGTAATCAATCCAAGAGAGAACCTAAAAGTTGCAAATAAAATTTTAAAAAATATAAAAATTTACCGGAATTCGTTTTTTGCTTCTAAATTTGCTAACAGAACGAAGAAAATCATCCGGAGATTTGGTTTTGAAAACTTCGCTAGGTACAAAAAGAAGGGATGGATATGTTCCAGCAAAATCATAATCCTTATTGATAAGAGTAGGGCGCCAAGAATCATTTGATTTTTTCTAAAAAATTTTCAAAAAAATTACAGAAAATTTACAGAAAATAAACCTGTCTAATAAATTCAGAATTTGCATCAAATAAAAGCCAACCATCAAATTGAAATTTTTCTTTATATTTTTTGGCAAAAAAGGGCTGAAACAAAATTTCAAAAAATAATTTAAACATTAAAAACCTGTCTATTGGTGTTAGGAAATGAGTATAATTTGAGGCAATCGAATAATGCTCGGCGATTGCGAAGTTCTCTTTTAAGGAAAAATCTAACTTTTCGGACGTCCTAAAATAATAAAGACGTCAGAAATTATTTAAAGTTGTAAAATAACTTTGCAATTAATAGAAATCCCATAAGGTTGTATCTTCAAATTTGAATTCTTTGAGCCTCCTCGAACATTGTAATATCCGATTTTTTCAATTTTTGATATACAACCAAGAACAACGTCAAATATAAGTGGCTAAAAATATAAATACGAATACACATTTAAAGTAAAACCTCAGAAGACATCCATTCTGGTATTCTCTCTTCAAATTTTAAACGATAATTTGTCACGTACAAAAAGCCCATACAAAGCTCCTCACGTTTGTCTTGTTGTTTGTGATAAATAACATTTAATTCTTAAATAAGAAATTAAAATATACAAGGAAAAAATACCCAAATGTAATTCTTCTCCAGGCAATAGCCAAGTAATAGCATGTCTTCTAGGTGGCAAGCTTTCAAGATCTCGAAAAGTATAAGGACCTCTGCTTGATTCATGCAATTCACTACCTCGTTTTTCGCTCAATAAGGATTTCTGAACATCCTTTCCTATAACAATGTATTGTCCATTATGATTATCAACAATATCCTGTAAATAAAAAAGAAAATTTAAAGTAATTTTAAAAATTTACCTTCGAATTTTCTGTTAGACCTGAAATTTCAATTGATGAGTAATTAACAGCTTGGTTGTAGCTAAATCTATTTTTGTGTTGCATAGTAATCATAGATGAGAAATCTGAAAGATTATCAAGTAAAAATTGATCAGTAATTTCTTGGAAGTACTTTTAAAGCAAAATGAGACAAAAAACTGAAGCAGAATCCCGCAAGATTTTTACAAAAACACTGACGTTTCGGGAAAATAATATTTTGTAATTGGTATTTTGTAATATTTCTGGTCAATTACAATTTGAAATACGTCCTTTCATTTTGTCAACTTATTGATTTTGTCCGTTTTGTCAACTTCGACTGACAAATCTTACTTATTTTGTAATAAAAACGCCTAGAAAAATCTAGTTTATCACCTAATTTTCTTTCAACTTTGTGACGTTCTTTGTAATATGCGTTTGCCTTAAATTAAATTTTTTGTTTAAATTGATTTTTTAGAGATATTTATTCTTCACTTTTCATATTGAACTTATATTGGCAGAATGAATTTCTCTGGTGGTCATGGCATGGAAGGTGATTTGTTTGATATGCTTTCAAATGGAGGTGGTATGGGAGGTTTTATGGGTGGAAGTGGACTTCTTGGACAAATGTTTGGAGGTGGTTCAAGACGACGGAAGGGAGAGACAACAGTCCAACCTTTAAATGTTACTCTTGAAGATCTCTACAATGGAAAGACTTCAAAGTTGCAACTCACAAAGAAGGCACTCTGCAAAACTTGTAATGGGTAATTATATAATTTTGTGAGGGTAATAGTCTCGTTTCCCAGCCCCATTTTTTCCTCCCAATTCTCTACCCTATGTTTGTACGGAATGGTCAAATTTTCCCCTTTCTTTCATCAAATTTGCCTTTCCATATTTTGCCTAAAAACAATAAAAAAGATTAATTTGTGATATTTAAAAAAGTATTAGAGTAATGAGAAGAATCATTTTCCCAATTAATAAAAATGGAAGAACTAAAGAATTTCAAACCTATTGATTTATATGAAAAATTACGTTTGAGTGATAATGATTTCGATGCATGGCTTGAGAAGCTTGGACTTCTTCATGGAAAGAGAACTTGCTACAAATGTGGGGGTCGAACAACAATAAGTGTTAAGAAAGACGAAAGATATGGATGTTGGCGGTGTACAACCAGAAATTGTAGAGCAAGACAAGGTTCTTTTTTTCAAGTTTTTTTAAAAAAATCTTTACTCTAAGGTTATTTATGTGGTACCTTCTTTGAAGGTACGCATCTGACCACAAAGAAGGTATTTCATCTTTCTTATTTATGGGCATATAGACTTGGTACATATGACTACATAGACTTTTTTATCCTTGTGAAAGAAATGAATAAAAAATTAATCTTTTTTATTGTTTTTAGGCAAAATATGGAAAGGCAAATTTGATGAAAGAAAGGGGAAAATTTGACCATTCCGTACAAACATAGGGTAGAAAATTGGGAGGAAAAAATGGGGCTGGGAAACGAGACTATTACCTTTGTGAGTTTATATAATTTTATTAAATTAGTGTTGGTGGAAAACCTGGCTCTGTTAAGCGCTGTGAATATTGTCGAGGTAGTGGTCGTGTTTTTGCAACGAGACAGATTGGGCCTGGAATGCTTCAGCAGATTGCAACACAATGTGACCATTGCAGTGGTGGAGGTTTGTTGTTTACAATAATCCAAGCGGTCCGCATCCTACTTCAAAATTTATTTTTAGGCGAGACCATTGATGATGCCAATCGTTGCAAGACTTGCCAAGGAAGGAAGACTGTCCAAGAGATGAAAATTATTGAGGTCAAAGTCGAGCCTGGAATGCGCGAGAATCAGAAAATTGTTTTCTACGGCGAGGGTGATCAAGAACCTGGAATTGAGCCTGGAGATGTTGTGTTGGTTGTAAAGACAAAGCCACATGATGTTTTTGAGCGTAAAGGCGAAGACCTTTTCATTAAAAAGTTTATTTTCTTTTTTAATTGATTTAAATTTTTATTTAGGACTATTTCTTTGAAACAAGCGCTCTGTGGATTTGCATACACAATTAAACATCTAAATGGCAAAGATATTTTGGTCAATACTCTCAGCGAGGAAGTTATTAAGCCAGGTTTTTGGACTTATTATCATCTAAATTATTTTTTTGTTTTTAGAGTCTGTCCGCGTAGCTTACAATAAAGGAATGCCAAAGCAGGGTAAACCCGGACAATTTGGTAATCTCTACTTTGTTTTTAATGTCACTTTTCCGCCTACACATTTTCTTGAGAATGAACAGCGTTATAAGGTTTTGAATTATATTTTATGTTTAAAAATAAAGAAATTTAGGAGCTCGAAGCGTTGCTACCACCTCGACCTCGTATTCCAAAATTGTCTGCAACTGCTGAAGTTGAAGAAGTAACGCTTTCTGAGTTCGACTCTCGTCGTTATGAACGTCACGGTGGCGGCGGGGGATCTCGTGAGGCATACCATGACGATGAAAGTGATGATGATATGCCTTCTGGAGCGCAACATGTTCAGTGCGCACAACAATGAAGAAATAAAATTTCAAATAAATTTTTCCTTTGTTTCTCAAAATTTTCCGATCTAAAAGAACATTTTTATCGTTAAAACCATTGCTACAAGTACACAAGTACTTTTATGAAATTTGTAAGATTTCTTTATCGCCCGTTTTGATCGTAATGTTTTTTCATTGTAAATTCAAAATAAAGGTGATATTGATATAAAAATTGGAAGTTTTTAGGACGATTTGAATAGTACCGATACTTGGAATATTTTTTTAAACAATTCCCTTTAAGTTTTATTCCTTCTGGCTTCTTAATGTTAAACTAATTTTAGAGAATTTTAATAATTTTAAAAGAATGTTGAAAATCAAAAGCATTCTCGGCTCTTCAACTTTTCTTGGTCGCTCCTTTTGTACCGAGAAAGTGCATTTTATCACAAAAATAAGAAATATGCGAAGAGCAAAATCGAGAGGAGGGCCAATTAAAGAAGAATTTGGAGATGAGGTTTGATGAATTTTAACAATCTTCTAATTTTTAAAATTTAATTTTAGATTGATTTTAGCAAAATTCGTTGTAGTCTTAAGTCCTTGAATAGATCGAATAGAGATCAAAACACGGCAACCCAAACTGACCCGAATCAACCAATTGAATTCGATTTTAATCCGTTTGATAAGGTTTTTTAGATTTTAAATTTTTTCTCAATCAGAATTTCTAGGCTGATAGAAAATGTTTACTTTGTGATTTGGGAATTAAATTGGACTACAAAAATGCTCGTTTACTCCAACAATTTATTTCTTCATTTAGTGGGCGTGTTTATGATCGACATATTACTGGGCTTTGTTCAAAGCAGCATGATGCGCTTATTAAAACAATTAGAATGAGCAGGTTTGAAGGAAATTTTGAAATTAATGTAATAGAAAAATAATTCCAAGACAAAAATAATTTTACTATAGTAGAAAATCAAATAAAAATTGAAGATGATTTTTATTTTTTTTGAAAAATTTCGAGGATTTTGTTGGTTTGTCTAGGGTTGATTTCTAGTTGTTGATTTTTAAAAATTAAAAAAATTTCGAAACAAAGTTTTTCTTTTGGCTTATCTAAAAAAATTTTTAAATGGGATTTTCATTTCTAGAAAATATTTTACTCATGAAAATAATTTGTTATATTTTGTCTCTCTATTTTAAAAATTTAAAAGAACAAATATTTTTTCGAATATTAAAAATGATTCCTTTTTAGATATGCCGGTTATATGCCACCACTTACGAAAGAACCAAAGTATTTGAAAGACCCGAAACTTTTTGATCCATTAAAACCGATTCGTCCACACTCTTATGATGGTTAAATTTGTGTTTTTATTTTTTATATTTATCACCTAGTTTAAATAAATTAGAAAATTTGTTTTACCCTTTTATTTTTTTAAATGAATGTTTATTGACAATTTATATTTTTTTGTTCCTTTAATTGTTTAATTTTTTATCTAAAGTTTTAGATGTCATTATTAACAATTCATAATTGTGCTAATATGTCCACTGGTTTGTCATATTTTTCTAAATAATTTTTGTCTTATTTTTCAGTTGATTTGCGTGAGCGTCGTCGTCAAAAAATTCTGCAGAATGCTGAAAAGCGATTGTCGACAATACTTAAGGGACCTGATGGGAGTGAAAATCGTCAAGCACCTTGTATGGACGGATTTGCTTCATTGAACGACGAGGAGAGATCAGAAGGAGATGTGGAAAAACACGAGGATGTTCAGGTTCTTGCTTAAGATTTTTTGGGTTATAAAAAAATAAAAAAAAATATAAACTTCTAAAATCGCTAATTTCATTGACTCTTTAATTTTCAGACCATTAATCTTCCGATTGTCAAACCAAATCATTTTGGATTTGTAGACCAAAATAGATTTTGGATAATGATAGCTCTTGGCCTTTTCTTTCGTTTAGCCGTAATGTTTGAATTGCTCAATTATGTATTTTTATCTTTTACAACAATTTTCTTTTCATGGGAATTGCTTGTTACATTCACTAATAGAACGATGTTTAGGAGGTTTGAATATATTATAATTTTTATTACATTTAAAATTTTAGATATCCAAAGAATGATTTTTTGGTGAATATGTTAATGGTTACAGGACTTAATGAGAGACTAGTGAGTTAAATATTTGTTGGATTTTAGGAGGTTAACGAGCCATAAAATCCTCACATATATCAAGCTTGAATAGGTAAGGGAGTAGATTTCCTCAACTTTAAGATTGCCCATTTTTCGAGACGAAAAAAATTAGGAAAGTGTCCTTTGGATTGGAACGTTTTGGAAGTCATGAAATAAGTGAATGTATTTTATGCTTTACTCTACATTAATTATAAAATCGAATTAAATCGGGAATTAAAAATTGGAGATCGTGGGCTGAATATTTTGGATTTTAGCATAGCGAGTGCTTCGCTTTTAGTATTTAATTTTTAAATTCAAAAATCTGCGACTATTTTTTTGACCTAAAATCTCATTTCTTTTCAAGGTTGTATGGACTCAATTTATTTTCAATCTGCTTTTGGAATTTACAATGGATGCATGTGTTATGTCATTCTCTTTCATATGCTTCCATTTATTATTTATTACTTGCAAATATTTGACTGAATCTGGTTGTTGTTCATAATAATTTTTAAAACATATTTTTTGTTAGTTTTGTAATTAGTTACCAAAATATAAGCAGCTACCCAAAAATTGTTCATTTTTTTATTTTCACTTTATATTTTTAAATTTACTTGAGCGATTATTTTTTAAATTACATTTTTCGGGATTAAATATTTGATTTGTATTTTAGGTTCCTCTCATAAGGTTCTACTATTTTCTTTCCATTTTTAATCTAAAAATCCAACCATTCTCTAACTTCAGATATTTTTAGTAAATATTTACTTTGATACCTCTAAAGCATCTTCGCGTTCTGCTGTCAATTCCTTTAAAATATTTAATAAAAATTTATTTTTTAAATGTCTGGAGAAACCTTTGTTGTAATTTCGATTTTTTGTTTCGCAAACTCATCAAGTTCCAATCCCTGAACAATTTTCCAGTCACGCGTTTTTGCATCAATTGTGATTGGAAATGAGAAGATCAAACCTTCCGGAATTCCATAAGAACCATCAGAGGGAACGGCCATAGAAACCCAATCGCCATCTTTTGTTCCAAAGTGCCAATCATGAATGTGGTCACTAAAAGTGGATAAATATTAACATCTTTAAAGATGAGAAACCCTAAAATGATCGGGATAATTCTTTATTTACTTACCAAGCCGCTTTTGCTGCAGACATTGCGCTGGACAGTTTGCGTTTTTCGATAATAACAGCTCCGCGCTTTTGAACAGTCTAAAAATGTGGGAGTTTCTAAATGTTCTCAAAAATAAATAACCGAAATAAATTCATTTTGAATCCACGGCACATCATTTACCGCTTCATAAGCACCAATCTCTGTGCCACCTGTTAAATAAAAATATTCAGATAAAAAAATTTGATTTCCAAACCTTTAATTACTTTAGCGTGTTTAACATCAGGAAATTGGGTACTTGAGTGATTTCCCCAAATTATAACTTTCTTCACAGATCCACAGTCGACCCCACAACGAGCAGCTATTTGGGCAATTGCACGGTTATGGTCAAGACGAGTCATAGCGCTGAAATTCTTTGCTGGAATTTTTTCTGCTGCATATTTTGCACAAATAAAAGCATTTGTATTTGCAGGGTTTCCAACAACCAGAACCTTTGAAAAAATTTTTTTAGTCCGAAAATTATTTAATTCTTACCTTAACAGTTGGCTTTGAATACTTAGCCAGAGCCAATCCTTGCGATTTAAATATTTTTACATTAGCAGCAAGCAAATCCTTCCGTTCCATTCCTTCCTTTCGAGGCATTGCACCAACAAGGAAAGCATAATCAATGTCTTTGAATGCCGCTTCTTCAGTCGTGACCGGCTCGACAGCTGAAAATTTAGGAGATTTTAGATAAAATTAAAAAAAACATATAAGATTCGCCAAGGCACAATCGTAAAGTTCAAGTTCCACTCCTTTAAGCACTTCGGCCATTGGAGGAATATCCAACATGACCAGAACAATGGGCTAAAAATTTTAATTTAAAAATATTTTTAAAAATATCAAACCGTTTCCTTTCCAAAAACATCGCCCTTTGCGATTTGAATAACCTGAAATAGAAATTTTATTAAATAATTTTTATAAATTTGAATAACCAAAGAATAACCAATTTGACCAGCTGCTCCAGTAACCAGCACGCGAATTGGTACTTGAGTAGACATCAAAAACAAAAATAAAAGTTTTGGTTAGAAAAGTTAAATTCTAAAAAATTTTTGTGTTAAAATTAGGCGCTTAAGACCGTTTCTTTTCTAAAAATTTTTTTACAAAAAATAGGACTCTTAAACCCAAAATATTCCTATCATAATCTAGAATCTTGAGATACGAATCTATTCTTCTTCTGTCCAAAAAAACTAACAGAAAAAAATTATTTTCAAGTTTGTTTAGTGCATACTAACAATTTACTTATATTAGGTCAGTAAAATCAATGAAAACTGACTGAGAAAATACTAAAAATATTTGGTTTTCAATCTCTCCCCATACATTCTCTGAATAAGAATGATGGGTTGTTTACATAAAAACAACAAAATAATAAAATAAAAAAGTAATCAAGTAAAAATTGATAAAAATCATCAAGAAACATTTTTAATATTTTTTATATAAATTTTCAACAAAATGAAAACAAAAAAAGAATAAAACGAAAACATTTAAAAGGGACATGCCCTTAAATAGAGTTGGATTTTAAGAATCGGAAAATCGGGAGATTTTGATAAACCATCGCTGAAATAAATGTCTCATAGTTAACCAAGTCAAAATTGGACAATTAAAACAATAGTTCTGACAGGGAACCATCGTTTACTGTGAGTATGAATTTGATATATATGTACCATCGATAGAGGACTCCCGACTTCCTATTGTGAAGTGATGTCCGTTTTCTTGCAAAATGACTTTGGGTCGAGTTATGGCCATTAAAGTTTCGGTGTTTGGGAGTGTTGTTACGTGTATGGGACAACGTAACAACAATAAAGCCCCAAAATGTGAATTTTAGGTATACAAACCAGTTATTTTAATACAAAAACGAAGGTATTTCTGATCCAAAAAAGTTAGGATTACTAGGTCGGTTCATAAAAAAGTTCGTTTTTTGTTATCGCAAGTTTTTTGGGTGATAACTATTTTTATCCCATTTTATTTTTATCTTATTTTGTAGCCCAGAGTCTTAGCTTTCTAATGATACCAAAATTTTAAAAATATCAAAGATCAAAAAAATTTTATGCCTTCAGAAGTGAGCGTGGGTAAGGGGAATATTTAGGGGCAGTTACACATCCCATTAAAACTAAGTAATAATGCAATATTGGCATCAAGAAAAATCAATGAAATGATAGGCAGGGATCTTGTCTAACCTAGTGTAGTTCAAAAATTTTTCAAAAAAATTCGATCTGGGAACAATAGGACCAAACGCAAACTTGGTCCGGGAAGGCCACCGACTGTAAACAAACACGTCCTTCCTTGTCGGTTAGAATGATATCCGGATATTTTTTTGACAGTATTGTAGCGGGGACATTGCTCTATAAGTACAATATAGCAAGTGTCGAAAAAAACGGATTGTGAGCCAAGGAGGACAAATAGAGTAATGCACCAACCGACTGGGAGACAAAAACAACAGGGACTTTTTTTTAGCCTTTCAAGCCTGGATAACTATCGAAAGGGTTGTTCATGGAACCGGATTGTTACCTAAGTTTAAACATATGCCAATTACGATAATAATATACAAAAATTGTTTGGAGGAAAAAATATTAAGACCCTCTTTTGGTCCCCCGCCCAACCAACTACCCAAAAAACGTATGTTGTGTATTCTTTTGGATGGTGCTCGGTCCGTTGATGACGGAGGTACTTCAAATTGGTACCACTACAAACTCCAACATGCATATTAACTAACTCATCCAGGGAGATTTCGTTTGTTACCTTCAACGTCGCCAGGGACTGATTATTAGACCTCTGGTTTTCCATTAAAATAACGCTCCTTTGCACCGCTCATTTTTGACGACCTGCCATACCCCAAATAAACTTTCTTGGAAAGTGTTACCCCACCCCCCTTGTAGCCCTGAGTCTGCTCTATCAGATTAACATCATTTCACTTCTTCAAAAAAATTTTTACGGGACGGGCACTTGGCTGAAAACGCCAAGGTCGAGACTGTGGTGAGGAAGACAGTGCTTCAGAAATGGGGTCAGATTTTTTTAAAAAGAGGTATCCACAAACTTTTTTCTGGTTTAAGAATGTTGTTAAGACTCGGGACAATTATTTAGTAAGGTTAGATTTTTTATCTGTTTTAGTTTGCTTGAGATTTATCGATTTTTCTTGGAAAATAAATTTTTGGAAAAAACGAACTTTTTTATGAACCGACCTAGTAGTAGAAAATAATTTCAAAAAATTACTAAAAATCCAACTCTATGTAAAGAAGTGTAAATGATAAAATAACAAATAATTAAAATTATTTGTGTATAGTCAATCAGTAATAGCTTGTTATATATTAAATAATAAAAAATCAAAACAAACAATCAATGCATAACATATTTGTTGTTCTCTTGCAATTCGCAAAGCTCACCGGCAAAGTTAATAGTAATACGGAAGTCCAAGTCACGCGGATTTCTTGAATTGGGCATAACACCAAAAACTCCTTCCATCTGCTCCCCTTTCTTGCAAGTTATAGAGTCACAAAGATAAAAAACTGTTTGCTTCCAATGCTGAAAAATAAAATATTTTTTGAAAAGAATTTTTTGACATTTTAGAGTTAGCACATCATAAGTGGACACGGACTCGGTCTATGAAATTTTTAAAAACAACCCAAACTTTTCATAGAACGGAACTCCTACATTTTAAGAATAAAATAAAAATAAACCGTATATTTCTGGTCTGGCGCAGTACTAAATCCGACACGTTTATGGCATTTAGTGAATTCAATAGTGAAAAAAGAAACTAAGGCTTGAACATAGTCGTTGCGGATAAACCGAAGAGTGAATGGAGATTCAAATGTAAGATCGGCAACAGTGACTGTATAGAGATCAACTTCCTTAAAAATTTTATTAAATTAAAAAAACGGACAAGGTTTCTACAATCTTCATTACTTCCCTCTTACTTGGGAGAATAAAAACAATTAATACAACCTCGAACCCCAAATTTATTAAAAAAATAAATCTCTCTTTGTATTTTTCGGGAAATTCCTAGCCTAAAATATTGTCAAAAACCTAATAAAAAATTCTCCGAAAATAAACTCACTTTAATTGCAAAATTGTCCGAAACCACCTGACCCCTGTCAACAACATCTACCAACGGCTCAGTTATAGCAACTTGGCGAATACTTGCCATATTAAAACCATAAACATTGTCCCACCAGTTGATCTTAAAAATTGTTTCTTCAACTTTACTGTAAATAATTTTAAAAACCTTTTCGTCCTTGTATTGGCGATCTTCAATAGCACAAACATATAAAACCGCTTTGTCAGGAAACAAAATACCATTTGGAGCTAGCCATTTATCACGTGCATAAATCACAGTGTTAAGCATAGACTCATAAAAAAGACAATAACCCATCCATTCAGAAACGATAACGTCAACCTTTTCACATCCATCTGGCAAATGTTGAATATCCTCAACTTTGCTGTGAACAACTTCAATAATATGGTCCAAATTGTTGTCTTTAATAATTTGTTTTGATTGATTAGCCATACTAGAAAACTCAACCTTAAAGAAAACAGACATTTTTGGTTGCAGTAAAGCTTAAGTCTTGGGGATTGAAAACACTATGATAAAAAATAACGTAATGGGTACATCCCAATGTGCCGCAGAGCCGTACCTTCGCTCAACATGGTCGAATCCGGGACGCACTAGTATGGTTCGATTCAGCTCGTCAAGACGCATAGAAGCATACCAAGGCGTCCCGGATTCGACCACTGTGACGGCCTGCTCCCAACATCAATTTAGGAAGGCCCAATTAAGAAAAATGAATAGTCGACATAAAACTGGGAATTGACAAGAATTTTTATCAGCCTAAAAAAATTTTCCGTGTGATTACATGAATGACCCAGGTTAAATTTGTTCAGTCTCTGGGGTTCTCTATATTCTAGCTCTAGAATCGTGTTCCAACTCACCGCAAAAACTTTCCTAGCTCCAGCCTTAGCAGCAAACATCGAAAGTATACCCGTACCGGAACCAACATCCATCACAACCTTTCCTTTAAACAAGTGACGATTGTGGTAAATTGCATTTCGATATGTAACTGTCCTAACTTCATCTTTCAACATTTCCTGAAATTTAAAATTATTTTAAAAATAACTTTAAAAACCTCATGAATGCCGAAATGAGCATAAGAGTCAAAATAGTAGTCTTTACTTGTCATTTCATTAATTGGTTTTGCAGAAGCATCGAGTGTTTCGTTGTTATAATTTAATTTTGAATTTCCATTGATTAAAACATTTTTAGAAGAAATTGACTGTTCAGTCATTTTGTCTTTAAATAAATAATACGACTAAAATAAAAATTATTTATTTAGAAAACAAATTGAAAATCACACATAAATTGTCAAAAAAACTTTTTTTATAATTAAAAAAAAATTAAAAATATTAAAAAAAAAATTAAATTTCTAACTTTCTAGCCTATACTCTCTAAATTAAAAATATACAAAACGCCATAATTTATTTTTGCCAAAAGACGTTAATTTAAAATTTAATGCAATATTTCTCTTTTCTCTCTCTCCCTTTCCTTTTTTTATTTTTTATAAATTTCTAATTTTTTTAATTAAAGGATTTTATATTTTTTGGTATGCGGCTGCTTGTTGGTCGTATATTAAAATATTCCTTAGTCGGTCTCACTACAGGAACCTCAATTTATTATCTCCACAAAAATGATTATTCTTTCTCACATATTGGAATTGTTAGATTTGCTCGAGTTGGTGTAGTTGTAAGTTTTTTTCTAATTTCCAAAATTTTATTTTCCTAGGCTAGCCAAACAATGATTGACTACAAATGGAGTCTTTGGGGTTTAGAAGTTGATTCTCCAATTTATGACGAAAAAATACAAAAATGCCATCAACGCGGAGCTGATAGATTGCTTGCTTTAGCGAGGAGAAATGGAGGAGTTTTTATTAAGGTTTGCTTAAAATTCTTAAATAGGGTTGTTTTTCGAGTTGGGCCGACGGCGAGTCATTTTTTCGGACCAAATATCTTATGCCCGACTTTTCGGTCCGAGTCGTTCCACTTTGGCAACCCTACTCGTAAATATTTTTAAAAAGAAGAGATTTTAGGTAGGACAACACATTGCTTCCCTTCAATATTTGCTACCCGAGCCTTACACAAAAACTCTCTCAGTGCTTCATTCAAATGCTCCAGAAAGCTCTATTGAAGAAATAAATCTGTTTTTGAGAAGAGTACTTCTAAAAATGTATGAGTAAATTTTTTGTGGGATTTTTTTCTAAATTTTTTATAGACGAACGCCTCTTTCATTAATTATAAGAAAATCATTTTTTAGCTCAATGACGTCTTTGATGAATTTAATTCTCAACCCTGTGGAGCAGCTTCCCTTGCTCAAGTTCACAAAGCTCGTCTAAAATCCACCGGTGAATACGTTGCTGTCAAACTTCAACACCCCCATGTTAGAGCGCGTAGTATTGTTGATATAGTTACAATGGAGGTTTTTTCTAAATTTATTTTTTATTTAAATTTATTTTAAAAGTTATTTGTTGGAATTGCTGCTTTTGTTTTCCCAAATCTTCGTTTAAATTGGTTAGTTAATGAAATGAAAAGGAATTTACCTATTGAATTGGATTTTGTTTATGAGGCTGCTAATGCTGACAGAGTTAGGCAAATGTTTGCACATTTGCCGTTCTTAAAGGTTTGTTGGTTTTTTTATTTGGGTGATTCGCTCAAGCCTGTAGCCAGGATTTTTTCGGGGGGGGGGGGGAGCAAGGGGGGAAAACCAAAATTTTTCTTTTTTCCCATTTCAGGGGGAGGGTGATTCCGCCCCCTGGCTACGGGCCTGGATTCGCTAAAGTTGTCAATGCATATGGAAGTGAAAATTTTATAACCTGCTGATCCGAATTTTTGTAACCATAACTCCCTGGTCACCACTGACCAAAACTTAATGTGCCTAGGTTTAAAATTTTTTCAGTTGATCATTCTTCCACAAACTCTTCCAATAAATTAATAGATTTTCCATTTAGATCCCAAAAATATATTACGAACTTTCAAATGATATGGTTCTCACTATGGAATTTTGCGAAGGTGGAAAAATTAATGACTTGGAATATTTCAAAGCTAATAAGATTGATAGGCATAAAGTAAGTTTTTAATTAAATTAGAAAAATATTAAAATTATTTTTTAAGGTCTGTAAAATGTTGGGTAGAATTTACAGCGAAATGATTTTTAAACATGGATATGTCCACAGTGACCCACACCCTGGTAATATTTTTGTAAGATTTACTCCTGATGGGAATGAAGAAATTATTTTACTCGATCACGGACTTTACGTTGTAAGTCTTTTTAAACATTAAAGGCTTTTCTTTCGTAAAATATTTGACGAGAACGAACCCAGAAATTTTTAAGAAGACGTTTTGTTTGTGAATAAAAAATTTGCGGACTGTGAATAAAAGTCCGCAAAAATTGCCTGAAAGAGCAGCATCTTTATTCCAATCTTTTATTTTTTAAAGACTTTACCAGATGATCTACGCATTGATTATGCCCATCTTTGGCTGGCAATTTTAAAGGCGGACAAGAATAAAATCCAAAAAATTAGTGAAAGAATGAATGTTGGTTCTCAATATGGCCTTTTAGCATGTGTTGTTTCTATGCGTTCTTGGGATGCTGTTAGTAAAGGAATTATTAAAACAAAAAGAAATGAACATGAGGTTTTGTTTGTTTTTGGAAGAATTTTAATTTAAAAAATATTTTTAGATTAGAAGAGTTCAAAATTTTGCTGCGTCTTTAATTCCTCAAATATCTTTACTGCTTGACTCCCTTCCACGTCAAATGTTACTTTTACTAAAAACTAATGATTTGCTCAGAAGTATAGCTCTTAGATTAAAAGCCGAGCATAATTTGGATAGTTTTACTGAGGTTTGTTTCTTTTATAAATTATTTGACTGACAATAAGACATTCAAAAGTATCCCTTTTTAAGGATAGTCAGGGGGTTGGAGAGGGGGTTTCGACCTTCGAAAAAGTGAGAGACCTTCCTAAAATCTATTTTCATTTCTTGACTATAAACAATATTGGGCATTTTGAGGCTCCGGCTCCAATCTTTATATCTTGGCTACGGCCCGCTGGAGCTATCTCCGTCATACCCAGCACTGGCTATTAATATATGAAATGAAAAATTTGATAGAATTACCAATAGTATAAACATATATTCTACTTTTTTCAGATGTCAAAACATTGTGTTCAAGCAGTTTACTTCCACTCAATAGCCAATAGTCACTTTGCATTAGAACGTTTTAGGATTCGTTTAAAAATGTATACTTTACTTGTTGGAATTAGGTTATACGAAATTTATTTGTTTATATATTGTTTATTTCTCAAAACATAAAAACAAATTTTATTAGAAATTTTAAAATTACATTGGATCATCACGGGGATTGGTAATATGAAAATTCACTTCTTCACCAAAACTTTCATCTAACCTTTGAATTAGTGATTTATTGAGCATTGGAGTAAATGTTCTTTTTAGATGAGCGTAATCTCCAAAAAGACGGGCGCATGATGACTTGAAAGTTTTTGTTTTTAAATTGTTTAAAGGTGTGGCAAGAAAGAAGGTTAAGATTATTCAGTTTAGGTAGTTTATGGGCCCAGGTTTCGTAATTCGAAAAACTTTATTGGAAAATCCCCCTGGCAGGCGAGCAAATTTCTAATGACAAGAAAAAGGATGTCCTTCCCTAGTAGGGCTGGTTGCAATTGCGGATTGCGTGTTTTTTTGTTGCGGATTTTAAAATTAAAATTGCGGCTGCGGAAATTTTTTTCGATTGCGTCCAGCCCTGTTCCCTACCCTTAAATATTCTTCCTTCCCTTCCTAACGAATCAAGTCTTGATCCTGAATTTTGAAAATTCTAAAATTACCAAAGAAAGAATAGGTTGCCATGACCCAATTTCAGAGCGTCTTTCAGCACCATCTAATATAACAACATCAAAAACCATTTTTGAAGAAATAAAAATTTTTAGTAAAGAATTGCTATGTCCAATAAAAACAATATTATCTCCTTGATTAACTGCTTTTTCCACTAAAAGTCCTTTTCCAGGTTCAACACTTTTTCTTTCAATAAGGGCTCTTGTATCCGGATTTTTAACGATATTTTGTAGTAATTTTAAATCCAATTTTTGAATTGAAACAAAATTGGTTTTTCCAGACATTTCGTGATAACGGCTCATTAAATAGAGCTGATCGACTTGCGGGGAGATAATTGCAATTTTGATATTTGAATTCTGAAAATACGAGTATTTTTTTATTGTTAAATAGGTTTTTAAGGAGAAGGTTTCGGATGTCAGTATCTTGTAGAACCGGAAATAAAAGCATTTTGGCACTGCCCTGAACTGGAAGGAAAAAAACAAGGAACTGCCTGACTTTTAGAGCTTAAAGAAAGCGAGGACAATGTGTGTCTTCCCTAACAAGAATTAGTCTCCCCAAATTCTAATAGTATAATGCCAGTAATTTTTCCTAAAAATTTAAAAAAAAATCCGGTAATAGTCTCGTTTCCCAGCCCCATTTTTTTCCTCCCAATTTTCTACCCTATGTTTGTACGGAATGGTCAAATTTTCCCCTTTCTTTCATCAAATTTGCCTTTCCATATTTTGCCTAAAAACAATCAAAAAGATTAATTTTTTATTCATTTCTTTCACAAGGATAAAAAGCCATGCATCGAAATCATTATCACTCAAACGTAATTTTTCATATAAATCAATAGGTTTGAAAATCTTTAGTTCTTCCATTTTTATTAATTGGGAAAATGATTCTTCTCATTACTCTAATACTTTTTTAAATATCACAAATTAATCTTTTTGATTGTTTTTAGGCAAAATATGGAAAGGCAAATTTGATGAAAGAAAGGGGAAAATTTGACCATTCCGTACAAACATAGGGTAGAAAATTGGGAGGAAAAAATGGGGCTGGGAAACGACACTATTACCAAAAATCCCCAAACCTTTCTTGTAATAATATCCAAATACTTTGCCACCATTCTAGTTCGTGCCTGCCCACCAATGTGTATTGAAACAAGTTTTCTCTGCAAATTAAAAGCAGCTGCAAAAGCTAAACGTTCCTCAATTGTTTCCAAATCCTTTTTAAATCAAAATTTATTTTTTTCAAAATTCTCTAAAAATCACAAACCTCCTCTTCAATAAATTTCAAAGAATCAACCAATTTACTCCCCTGTTCCCTTTTATTACACTTGTAAGCATAAAGAAGCAAATCATAACCAGGAAGAGAATGCCAAGTATCACGTATGCTTAAAAACTCTAATTGGGAAATATTTGTTTTTGTTCCGGATAATTGAATTTGGACTGTTTTGTTCTACAAAAGATGTGTAAATTAAAGAGGAAGATTTATTGTTAGGGTAATAGTGTCGTTCCCAGTCCCACTTTTTTTCCTTTCGTAGTTCTTATAATTTGTACAGAATGGTCAGGCTTTTTCTTTCTTCGATCACAATCGCCTTCTTTCAGCCTAAGGAAAAACTAATTCTTTTAGAAAAGCGAGTCTGACTATTCTGTACAAATATAGGAAAAAAAACTTGGGGAGAGAAAGAAGGGGACTGGAAACTATTACCAAAATAGAAAGAAAATAAACCAAAAAAGGAGTTGAATCATCAATTGGTTGATTAAAATAAACAGAAAAACCTCCATTAAAAACACTAACAACAATTCCTGGAGAAATAAAATGTTCAAAATTATCTGATGAAAAATTTGGAATTTGTAAATAAATAGAAGAATTAACTTTGAGTATTTGAGAAAGATCGTTCTTTTGGCTCTGAGTTAGCTTAAAACAAAACAATTTAGAAAATTAACAGAGGTAGTTGTGGTTAAGTGCGATTGTGTTAGATTTGACTGGGAGGGTGTACAAGGTTCGAACCCGCTTATAGGAACTGGCGTTTGTTTTGCTTTTCTTTGAATTTTATTTTTGTTTAAATTTCGTTTTTCATTAAAATTATTTATCTGATCAAAAAGACCAAAAAATCCAAAACACTATCATTTTGGAAATAGAAAATGGAAAGGGGACTTTATTTAATTTTCTAACACTCCCTTAAAATTTAAGTAATAGAGATCGGAATTTTTGTAAGCCTAGGCCTGTTCCAGGTTTGATTTATTGGACTGGGCCGGATCCTGTGTCTGTAGTTCAGGAAAAACCTAGGCTCAGGAAAAATCCAAGAAGGTCAAAAATGCCTAGGCCTGGACTTTGGGTACATGAAAAACCTAGGCCTTGGTCCAGACCCAGGCCGATCTTTATTAAGTAAAAATAAATATTAAATTTAAAAACAAACGTTTTTTGACATATTTTCTGTTGAGATAACTAATTTGCTAGAACGATTATGTGAAATCACGTCTAAACATTTTAAATTTAAATCGAGCCATTGCCTACTCTCCATTTTTGTTTCCATATCTTTTTTCAATGCAGATTCCCATCTTTGGCAATCTCTTTCTATTGAATCGGGCAATGAAGTTTTGTTAATAAATTTTGTATTTGTTTTTGCTACATTTTGAGAAGAAGAGGGGAGTAGATTTTCTAAAAATAAAAATTAAAAAAAAAAGAAAACAATTAACCATGATGAAATAAAGCTTTGGCACTTGCATTAAATTGTCGAATAATGGAATGAGAGATCCGTTTAATCATTCTGATAAAAAAAGGAATTTATTAATCTTTTGAAAAAAATAATTTTACAAAAAAGATTCAAGAAAAATTTTAATGAAAAATTTAGAAAAAAGGCTAGAGAATGTGTAGAGACAGTTAGAGAAAATTTCGTGCCCGCTCAAAGGGGACACGCCCAAAACAACGCGGGCCAAAACTACGCGACCAAAACTACGCGACCGAAACTACGCAAGCCAAAACTACGCAAGCCCAAAACTACGCACGCCCATAACTACGCAAAACTAACTATTTAGTAATGTCCGGCAAAATCAGTTTCTTGATCCGAAAACCGGATTTTGAATTCCATGCTCGTGCCGGACCGGCTCCGTTTGAATTTTTCCGAGTTCCGGAAAATAATTATTTTCCGAAAAATATGTATTTTCCGGAAAAATACATATTTTCCGAATTACGGAAATTATTTTCAGGAAAATGGTTACGGAATAGTACAGATTTTCCTGAATTTTCCAGATTTTCAGGAAACAATTTTCCGGATTCCAAAGAAAGAATCATCAGAGAGTGATCAACTGATAAAGGTTGATCATCAGGGTCCGTAGAATAAATTCGGGGTTAAGTTACCCGAGTAACTTTTCCCCCACAAAATGAAAAAAAGAGAAGAATCTTTGCGCCGAAGAAATGGAGAAGAAAAGAAAGAGGAAAAGGATATGGTAGAGGTCGAGGGTAAAATTGTTACACTGCTAAGGGGCAGTGTAGACATTTTATTTAAAAAATCCTTAAAAATCGAAATCTCATTGAAAAATTATAAATTTCATATTTTTAGATAGTTTGAAATATCCTCTATTTAATGATATAAATTTTGGAATTTTTTCTATAAAAATCAATTTATGGCAATTTTTAGCAAAAAGTACCTCAATTTTTAGTCATTTTTTAAGTAAAAGTAGTACCTTGCTGGAAAATTCATAACTTTTAAAAAAATCGGTCAAAATTTTTGATTTTTTGGTAAACCATAGATAACATCCTAATTTATATTTTGGCAAAAAAATAAAATTTTTATCTCCATTTTACAAAAAGTTATGAATTTTTTCCTAAATAGGGAGAATAAGAAGAGGGTAGCGGCGCCAAACCCTTTGCCTAGGGTCAAGTCGGCGCTGCCGCTACCCGGGTAACCTTACCCATGAATTTATTCTACGGGCCCAGAAAGTGATTAATTGATCAACAGCAGAATTCAAATTGAATGTACTAAATAGTTTTGCGTAGTTATGGGCGTGCGTAGTTTTGGGCTTGCGTAGTTTTGGCCTGCGTAGTTTGGGTCGCGTAGTTTCGGTCGCGTAGTTTTGGCCCGCGTTGTTTTGGGCTGTACCCGCTCAAAGGATAGATGAATCAAAGGATAGATACGGCTAAAATCGATCAAAGGATAGACGCGGCCAAAAGCTGCTAAAGGATAGATAAGGCAAAAAACGATTAAAGGATAGATGCATCAAAGGATAGATGCGCCAAAGGATAGATAGGGGTAAAATCCATTAAAGTATAGACACGTCTAAAATTGTGTAAAACATAGATAAAGTTTGGAGTCCAGTTGAGTACCAACTGTTGAGTGCCTGATCTTTTTGTTTTTTTCTGATCTTTGTTCTGATTTCATGTTTCTGTTCTGATTTTTATTTTATTCGTACTTTAGGATATTCGCGGAAAAAAGTTTTTGCCGCTGCGGAGGAAGCCGGGCATGTCGAGCGGAACGACGGCTGCCGCTTCGCTACGGTCGCCGCGAGCGAAGCGAGCACGACCACAGCGAAGCACGGCCATCGTGTAGCGAAGACCATGCCCGGCCTACCTTCCGTAGCAGCACAAAAACAGTTTTTCCAGCAAAGATTCAGATTTTTAAACATTTTTGTCCAGACTCAAACGACCTATTCAGTTGTCTATCCTTTGATCGCTTTTGGCCGTATCTATCCTTTAGCGCATCTATCCTTTGATGTATCTATCCGTTGATAGTTTTTGGGCGTATCTATCCTTTAGTGTATCTATCCTTTAATTCATCTATCCTTTGTAGGGGAGCCGAAAATTTTCCAAAATTAAATGACAAAAAATCCCATTTTGGCGCAAATTTACGAAATTCAAAACTTTTGAGATTAAATTTAATAAATTCTTTTCCCAAAATTTTTGTCAACTAATAAAATATTATTTTGATATTTTTATCTCCTTGCACTATTAATGTTCTTATGGAAGTTCAAGTTAATTAAGGAATTTAATAAAACCCCAAGTCGAATCATTTCCTTTTTTGCACATTCTTTCCATTGTTGACGCCACTGCTCTCACAAAGATCATTTCTTCCGATTGTTTGTAATTAATCATAAAATTTTTATCGTGAATGGCACACTTTCTTGTTATTTGTTTGACTTGTTTATTTTTCAGAAAAAAATTTTTGTGAAAAAAATATTTTTATTTTCCCCAACCCCCCTTTCCCTTCTTTAAAATTATTATTAAAATTAAAAATATTTTTATTTAAAAAATTTTTTTTGATCAATCTTTTTTAAAATCTTTTCTAAATTTCCATCAATCATTTTCAATGCCATTTTAGGAAAACAAAAAAAAAGTTTAGTTTATATTAATAGTAGGTCAACTTATTTAATAACTATGGGAAAGTTATTTTATTTCTTCTTCAAAATTATGATTTATTACGAAAGCTATTTTTTATCAGTTTTTCTGGCAATTTCTTTTTTATCTTCTTAATTTAATCTTTGTCATTATTTATTTTTTATGAGTCAAAGAATAGCGCATTATTGAGAGATAATAAAGACTACCTATTTCTGATATTGTTACTAGGGTTGGGGGCGCGGTTCGGTTTGAAAGATCGAATAGAGCTATGATTTTTGGCCGAAAAAGACTCGACCGGCCCGGTCGAGTCTCCGAAAAAGACTCGACCGAAGAATGGGGCCAAAAAATGACTCGAACGTCGGCCTGATTCGAAACCTCCCAACCCTAATTGTTACCCATAGGGAATGCCAAAAAGTGACAAAAGAGATATCCCATGAGAGTTTTGGAAGGGAAGCGTGTTTGAAATGTGAAGGTGTTTTGGAAGGATTAACTGTTTATAGACAGTCGACTGATAAGTTCTAATTAGAGATAGGATCTTAGGTTCTATCGGTATCGATAAACGATTGATGTTTTTGGTCGTTATATCCTATCGGCCCGATCTCTAGTCCAAATCATTTTTGAGTAATTAAGTCATAAATTACCGAGTTTAAGACATAAACTAAAATTTTTTAATCTTTTGGCTTTAACCCATTTTCGATGACTAAATAAATAAATAAACATCACATTCTATTTCTTATCAAATAAATAAATTATTTATTTTTATTTAGTATTTCCTTTATTTTTCAAAGAAATTACCGACATTTAAATTCAAAGAAAAGAATTTCACAATTTTTTTGTTCGGAAAACCAAGAAAAAGTGTTACAAATCAAGAAATTCTTTTAAAAGGCAAAATTCTCATTCTTATTTTTTTCTTTGTAGACATTTAAAATAAATTTTCTTTAAAAAATTATTTTTTTTTATAATTTTATAAAGGAGAAATCACCAAACAATGAAAATTTACCGAAAAAAATTTTTTCACAAAAAAATTGGTTTGCTTGTCATTGCTATATTTATTAATAATCGCTGTCTTTTCGTTGATTTGTGGGTGGGAATGTTAATAATAAATAATTATTATCAGAAGCCGGAGGGGAATTGGTCTTTTTAGTTGCTTATTGCGTGTGCTTTTCTTTATTTTTATTTTATTTCTTTATTTCTTTCCTCCTTCCCCCACCCATATATTTAGGAGAAACAAGGGGAAGATGCGCAAATAAATTAAATAAATAATAAAATGACACCGTCGCCCAAATAAAATTTTTTTTTATTTTAATTATTTACATGATCAACAACACATTTTTTAGTTAATATATAAATTGGTACAAATTTCGTCTATTTTTTAAATTCAAATAAATTTTTTAAAGAAAGGCACAATAAGGTACATTGAGGGACATTACTTTAACTAGAAGGTTGTCGACGTGTGGATTTTTATAAAATAATCAGGAGAGTACTTAGAAACGTGAAATTTTGTATAACTATCATCGATACAGCTATCTAACAATTTTTAAAATGTTAGAATTTTCGGACTTAGTTTCGGTCAGAATTTCAAAAAAAATTGCGAGAAATGCCCCAATTTTCTGCATTTTTGACCTTAACTCTTGAAATACTTAACCAAATATTCTGAAATTTTCAGAAAAGATAGCTAACACTATTACAAATATTTCTGCAAAATTTCATTATTTTAGGTTCTATTTTGGAAATTTTATAAATTCCCGCGCCGTCACGCCTTTCGCGCCTAAACGCCTCCTCCCACTCACTTCCACTCCCCCGAAAATTATTTTTTAAATTACCTAATATTTTATTAACTCAATTCTATTCATTTTTTCTTTCAAACAATTTTGTGACGTTTTAAATAATTTATTTCAAATTTATTATAGTTTATTAAATAATTAAATATTTAATTTTATTTACATTCTTTGTAGTTTTAATTTTATTTGTTTAAAAATATTACACAAACTTTGATAGAAAAAATTATTATATAAATTATCCTTGAAAATTGCGCATTTTTATTACTTTTATTTCATTAAGGGCTCGTTTCAGGTCTCAAAAAGGCTCATAATTTGATAATAAAATTTTATTCTATGGTCTAAATATTTTTAAAAATTATTTTTATTTATTATTTTTCTTTATAAAGATTATCTTTTTGATTAAATAATTTTTATTTATCAA